CTCTCTCTCTCTCTCTCACTCACTCTCTCTCTCTCTGCGCTTCTCTCCATCACTCACCGTTCTCTCTGGGGCGCACACGGACTAGTTTATTGCGCACAGGGAGTCTATACAGTGGACGTTAGCTGGATGTTTATTGCGCGTGTGTGGACTCCAGACTGCGCCAGGAGGCTGCGGGATGTCAGCGGAGCTCTGTCGGACGAGGTAGGAAGCAGAGTCCTCTGTGGTGAGCGGCTGGAAGTTCGAGAATTGCCCGTAGCTTCTTAAATTGGCTGTTTTTACATGGGACTTTTGAACTGATAAGAACGAGCAGCGGGGCGCTGGTTGATCGCAACTTTTTTATTTATTAAACTTAAGAAAACAGCACTTACATTTATTATACAGCACTTTTATTGTTCTTCTCTGTCAGGTTATCTTATCGCCCTTGTTCTGAGGTTACATACCTGACTACAGCCATACAGGCAGGGTAGCTTTATTTAGAAAGTCCCATTCACAGGTACAGGGACAACAACAACACGGAGGCTACATTCAAAGAAAACTTTTTAATATCAGAAAGTACAAGTTTCAAGCAAATTATAAGTGCGAAAAGTAGAAGTACAGCAGTATAACAAATGAAACGAGTGAAATGAAATGAGATTAATGTGTAAAATAATAAAGTAGAAACGAATCAAATACATGAAATATGATCATGAAAAATAGTTAAAGGCAAAAAGGAATAAAAAGGTTTGGAGTCTGGATTTCGTTAGTTTAAAATCATGATTTAAAATTGTGATTCTTTTTTACTGTTAGCTCTACAGCCACACATCATTGAATATATTTTGTAAATTGCTCCCCGTTCAAACACACTGCCAGAAAAAAAAATGAAAATTCATAAAAATTAGAAGACTATACTGAGTCAACAGGGACCAATGAGATTTCAGCCGGGGCCAGTTCCCCCCTGACCTGCCCCTGGATCTGCCCCTGCCAATGAGGTTTTTGCATTGAGCAGATGTTGGCCAGTACCTGAGACCAGCAACACAAATACACACACACACACATACCGTACATTGACTCGCATTCATTTCCTGGAGACTTACTCCCCTGCACTGTATTTGCCCTCTTTGTTTTATTTGTGTTTATTCTGCTGGCTCAGTACTGCCATACTCTCTTCTACATTTATGATCGTCACAAGACCTGACAAGTGGCCATTGCATCACAGGAACACCTCAGGGTTTGTGAGAGCCTTGCTATTGCATTTTTAAACCAAAAGCAGAGTTTTATAAAAGCGATAACAACATTCTCCATCCAGTTTGAGGCTCTGAGTTGCTCTTCGCTAATTCAGCTTGCTTTCCTCATGTTTAATGGTTGTTGCATTTCACTTTTTTGTTTTATTCTGTTTCTGCAGATGGAATCAGCACCTCTGAGAACATCCTAAAGGCAGACAGACAGGACGTCATATTTCGTACAGTGGCAGGTAGGACTTTTAAACACATAAAGAAATATACTAAATACCAACTCAATAAGCCGTTGGGGATGTGGGCAGGTGACATTTTGAATATGTGCTTTAAACTCAGCCATTAACGCTGAAACATTTGTGTGGAAAAATGCTGCCAGTCTACAGTCCAGCCCCCTCAGGGCTACATCTTGTCCTCTTTACAACATCTTTTACAGCATACACACATATTACACACTTTTAGGTGACAGCATTTTTTCCAGGGCAGTGTACAGAATGATCTAAGCTTCTTGACTCAGAGAGCTGCAGTGAAGCACAGAACAGGTGTTGGCCTAGTTGGAAAGAAGAACTAGGTCCACAGTGTTTTCATATGTAGGTAATTTGGTTTTGCTGCAGGCCATACGTAGATGTCTGTCTGTGTGTTTAAAAAAATATAGTGTGTGAATGTTGGTTAGACTGTGATGCAGGATGTGAACTTGAGTTAACCCTTGCCTATCTCTGGAAAAATGTGATTGCAACTAAATGAGTGACTAAAATGGGCTTGACAGGATCTCTTTTATCAGAATAAACATAGTTTTTCCATCACGACAGCAGTAACTTTGCTTGGTTAGTTCTGCCTCGCACTGCAAACTTTTTTCCTTCTTATTTGACCTGAGGTCAAAATGTACTTGATACACTGCTCCAGAAACAAGTCACCAGGCTGTTTCTTTGTTCCCTGCCTTTTAGTTTAGATTAGCATTCTCCACTGTGAAGCATGCCTGTGTGATCACACTGTGTAGGATTACAATGCATGATTCTCTGACTGGAAGCCTGCACTCACTGTGCCCGGCTGCGCAGACTGTATGCTGTATGCATGTTCGTGCCTGTGGAAAAACCCAGTGAGGTCATGGCCACGGCCACAGGGTCTGATTACATGTGTGTTGTCCACAGGGCAACTGACACTGGTGCTGTCTCCTTTTGTCTTCCTCTTTAATTCCTCGTTCTTAATCCACAAATAATCTCATGTTAGAGCGTATCACTTGCTGATGTATCTTCCTCTTGGTATTTTTTAAGTCCTCAAACTCAAATTTTACACAAAAAAAGAAGTACTATCTACTGGAAGTCTATCATAAGTTATATTCCATGACACTCCATCATATATTATAAATGTATACAAAAAATAAATGTTTAAATCTTCCATGTCAGTTTTAATAAATTCCACAACTTCTATATAAGTTAAATATATTTTTTTATCTAATATATAATGAGCAACAGACCTCAAGACTTAACCCTGGTTTAATGTGCCACTAATCTTTCTCATTTCTTTATATGACTGTTTAACATGGAGTAACCTGACCTCACTTTAACATTTAATCAATAGGTTTAGTCTTCATTGGGTACAGAGGTAATATATCACTGAACAACACACTGGAGTGGCACTGCTTCTGCAGCCATGGCACTATTTATTCAACAGTAAATTGTGCCCCAACCTGTATGTCCAGTGTGTGTAGCGCTTTTGTTCCTGAACAGTATAAAGTCTTTAAATCTCAGCTGCTGGCCTAAAAAGATTGATTTAAATTATTTATTATGATCACCAACCAAATTATTAACCTCTGCTGATATATTAGGGTCATTTTGAACTTTGGGGACAATTAAAGTTAAACTGCAGAGCGGACTCAAGCTGTGCAGTAGTTGTGTTAGTAATCGTAGTAATAGTAGACGCCACGGAAGGGGGCGGCTATTTTTTGACCTGCTGAACAAATGGCTCGATTGTCCTGCTTCTAGGTGCATGAAATCACTTGATATGTCTGCACTAATGTTATTTAATACTCTCTAAGGGGCCCATAGCACTGTGCATGTGTGTGTTTGTGTGTATGTGTGTGTTGTTCTGTTTCGCTGTGACAGCCTGGATATGTTAATGGTATTTTGGTGTGAAGTGTGTGTGGTGTGGCCTGAGGTAACAGAGTCCTTAAAGTTTTATTAGTGTGTCAAATCAGTTTGAGTTGCATTAACCTTCGAGCTAAAGGCTCCATGTTGTGGTCAGCTGGGTAAGTGGTCTCTGATCGCCCTCGAGCCACAGTCTGTATCCCCATCGGGACTTCTGACTCTCTCTCTCTCTCTCTCTCTCTCTCTTTCTCCTTCATACATACACACAGATGCAATCCTGTTATAATTTACTGAAGTCTGTGGAAGTATTTTTCTAAGGATCTATTCCTGTGGCGTTTCGGGAGGAAAAACCTTCAATTTTCACCTCAGCGTTTTTCCTCCTATCATAAAGCAACTTTTAACAATTTCTACTTTTGTGTAGAATCCCAGCATGGGCTCAAGGCTATAGGCTTGTGAAAACTGATACTGACACCATTGATACTGAATATTTCTGCTTGTGCTCAATCCAACTTTTGGTTTTTCATTCTTTTAAACTGCTAGTGCAGTGCCCATTCTACACCTGCCTGTTTGGAATGACCTGAACATTGTTTGCAAAGGTTTTTGTAAACAGTTGATGGTGCTGAGTCAAGTTAGGAAACTTTGCGTTAATCCTACCTGGTTTATCTGTAATGAAATATTTATCTTTTTCATATAATGAAACTGAATTTGCTTCTCCACTGTTTACGAGTGTGGTTTATATATAAGTCAGAAGATTCACTCAACTGCTGTTATTTTTTCATAAATTACATTTCATACAATCACAAGAAAAGCTCTGTTATTTAAGTTTTTACAAAGCATCACAGCAACACAACAAATCTTGTGCCTTTACTTTGGTTACAGATTGCTAAATAGGAAGTGATTTTATGAATGTTGTTGCCATGATAGAGATCAGTGCCTTTGAATATCTGTGTACGACATCGTTAACAGTATATATACCAAGTGTGAAGCAGAGAAGACGAACGGGTTTCGAGATGTGTGTTCCACATACAGACTGACAAGCATTTGTGGAATTAGTAGGTAGATGCAAGCCTCACAAACCTTACTCAGTGGTAAGAAAAGTTCTTGGGTCCCTTCATGAAAATATTTGATCTACACCAAACATCTGGCTAATAAAATGACAGTTTAACAGATGTATCTGTCAGGGATGCTCATCATCTTGCACATGAATGATGACTGTCTGACATGTGATGTCTGATAAAGGGCGAGCATTGGACACATTTATCAGGGGAGCCTGAAGTTGTCCGAATCCAGACTCCCTGCCGTTCTTTGATATTGTCTGACCTAGAGCGCAGCCGAGAGTAATGGCTGGCTCACATTCACTCTGCATCACGGGGGTGACTGACACTGACCTCAGATCAGATGGCCCGTTGTGATCGCACATGTAACAGGATCTCCTTTTATCAGGACTGACTCCTGACTTTAGATCTGACTGCGTGTGTGTGTGAGTGGGATGGATGGTCTTCAGTAAGGTTTACAGGTCAAGGCTGATTCCAAAAACCCTGTGTTTGGAAGTAGGAGTGAGACACAGTGTGTTTGTTTGTTTCGTGTGTGTCTGTCTGTGGGTGTGTGCACATGTCTGGGTGTGGATACAGACAGGTTTCTCAGATACAGCTTTTTGAGATGTGCACGCAGATGATGTCCGAAGGCACACAAGAGAATAGCAGGGACTTAAGGTGTGAGGAATTAGGCGTGGCTGTCACAAATGTGCTTGAGGAATATGTCCAATATCCCAAAGAGGACTCGTCAGTTTCTGTTTTCCTGGCAAACTGTTGGAAGTTCAAAAACTTAACAGTGAGTGCTGCCTGTGGCCTGAGACACTGCAAACCAGGTCACTTACACTACAGAGAATATAATGTGTAGCCTTAGTTATTTCTACGACGAGCTGCTATCACATTACTTGTGTCAAGTTAACTGCAAGTAAGTATTATTTTTTTCATGATCATTCTATTATTTTATTTTTATATCAGATCTAAAATAGTAAACCTCTCACTATTGTCTTCTTTTTAAACTTAAATAGAGCAATTAGATGATTATTTTACATCTTTGAACTTTCTAATTCTCATTTCTCCCATGAAATATATAGAGCAAGAATAGAAAAAAATGAATAACTGACTTTTTTTTTTAAATCGCAATTTTCCATAGTAACTTGGTGTTGGTTAATATTTTTTCAGTCAACTGGTAGACCAGAGCTTTAAAAAAGAGCTGTCAGCTGTTTTTCAGCTTGTGGCTTTATAAAAAATCACATGACATATTACAGAGGGTATCTGTGCTTTCTGGCTACACACATCTTCAATTGTTTGTGAAAGAGAAGAAACCTTTTTTCTGTGTGCAGGTTTCAGAGTTACAGAGTTTATTTGTGGTTGTTCATGTCTGCATTTGCATGGATTTCCTTGTGTGTGTGCGCGCGTGCGTGTGTTCATCCCTGACAGAGTGTGGAGCATGTGCAGGAATGTTAATGTCTTCTTCCTTTGTTGTCGGTGCAGACAGCTGAGTGTGACTGTGCATATTCATTAGGCTGCCTTCCTGGAACATGTTAACTTTCACCATGAAAAGAGGGCAGATATATCTGTATAAAAACAAAGTATGATGAAGAAACTGAATGGAAGCAAAAAGATTTGATAAAGCCACAGTGTTTACTTAGAAATGGAGAGGGTGGTGGAAAGTTGTATCAGAACAAGAGCATGAAGTGAGAGATCCTGTCAGCCGATCCCATCACACATACACATCCCTTCATTAATGTTTTGCTCTTTCCAGAGGAACTGAAGTTGTTTTTATTAAATGTGAGTTGCTCTTGCAGTCAGCCAGCTCAAGGTGCTACAGTACAAAGTGTGAAGAGATCATTTGTCCTGCACTGAAACATTGAGAAATCCCCCAAAGATGAGTCCATGAGAAAAGAGAAGATGCTCGACTTTACTGACAGGACTGACCAAAGCTTTTATTTGACTTTTAGAAAAAGCTATTGAAAAGACAGTGAATTGAAAACATGATAACTTCGAATCGCTGATGAAACGTTGCATTTCTTCATTCAGCAATGTCTTTTTTTACTGAAGTGGGTTTTGACAGAAGTTCGTGTGTAGTTTTGCTGATTTTGCAGCAGGCTAAAGTGAGGCTTCAGC